ATCCAGTTCATCAGATGCATAAATCATTTGTTGGTTTTTAAGGAGCCACGTGACTTTTTATTCTTTTTGCAACACCAGAAACTAACCAAAGCAACCCCTCTAGAAAAAAGGGACTGCTGTCCTTTTAAACAAGGGACAAGTAATGATTAAATGTGCAAAAAGTATACAGAACAGCAATGCCTTTGTACCTTAACTTCAATTATGGTTTGCATGCTGAAGAAAAAGACTGGGATTTCTTTCCCATATAGTAGCCACAAGGATCATCAAGAATTTGCATTTATTGAGCATTCATCCTGATTTGCTTACATGGTGGTTAAATTGTATCTGCTTTTTATTGAGCAGTTCTTCAAAGGAAGGTTATACAAGAAAGAGCATTCACCCTGATTTGCTTGTGGGGTAATGGCACGTCTTCCTGTTAAGTCATTTGTCCACTCCATACTTTTCAATAAATTTCCACATCATTTTCCAAAACACAAAAAGGTCTGATTTCTTTAAAAGTGGATTTGTGTGCTAGGGTGTAAGAACCCTTTAATCTGCTTTAATTGTGCAAACCTAAAGTTGTTATGTTATGTGCCTGAGTCCCTCCTGCAAAATACTGACAATCCAGGGGTGCCCAGGGCAAGCAACTGCTTTTGTATGTTAAGCCCACACCACTAAAACAAGGTGTCCAATCAAAACCCTTTACACCAGGCATGGCCAAACTCAGCCCTCCAGATGTTTTGGGACTACAAATCCCACCATTCCTGACCACTGGTCCTGTTAGCTAGGGATCATGGGAGTTGTAGCCCCAAAACATCTGTAGGGTTGAGTTTGGCCATGTCTGCTTTACACAGTGAGGCTCCCAAACCAGGTGTTTCTGCTGTGGCCATTAAGAGATCTAGAGAAGGGGCTGATGTTCTTCCATCCTGAGAAACTCAGGCACTCTGATTGCTCCTCTTCCTTTGCTACCTCCTGTGTAAAGGACCCCAAGCCCTGCTCACCAGAGAGAGTGGGCTCTGGGGTGAAACATGCAGACCATTCCCACCTGTGAAGCTCTTGAACAGAAACTACAAAACCTGTTTCTGAGGCCCATATTCATAGAATTGTAGAACTGTAGAGTTTGAAGGGACCCTGAGGATTATCTAGTTTAATGCTCTGCAATGTAGGAATATGCAACTGTCCCATATGGGGACAGAACTTGCAACCTTGGCTTTATCAACACCACACTCTAACCAACTGAGCTATCCAGCATTGGAAAGGCTCTCTTTCTGTTATTTGTATACATGCAATCCAAAATTTGGCTGGTTACTTCAATCATTTGAGATGCAGCGACACTTTCTTTAATAGCTTCCCTACTCTCCTGTTTCTCAGGCATATGATCTAAGAGTATCCCAAGTTCCCTTGCTTAGCAACTCATTTTTGGACCTGTCACAAGGTTCTCAAAGTCTTCCTTTCTACCTTTCAGGTTCTGCCTTTTATCATGCTCCTGTTTTTCACTCCATTCCCTCCTTCCTACATCTGGTCTCTACTGTATCTGTTAGCTTCACTACTTTGACGCAGAGTTGGTGTTTGCTTGTGGGCTTCTCGTAGGCATCTGATTGGCTACTGAGGGAACAGGACGCTGGACTAGATGGGCCTTTGATCTAATCCAGCAAGGCTCTTCGTATGCTCTTAGGACCAGTAAAACAAACAAACCTGAGCAATTGGCGGGCGAGTAAATATTGACACAGTAATATGCAAGTCAGTTCAATGTGTTTGTTTCTTATGACAGTAGCAAAGAGTGCATACACCAGTTATAATTCTGCAAATCTTCTAGATGACATCACTGCTCCAGTGCTGGATCACATGGAGACCATCATGATCACTGCTACTCTGAGAACTGCTTGTGTGATTTGCTGTCTGCTTCCTCCTGAACCCCATGTTTTCTATTCACAGATACTTGCAGTTCTAAAGCCTGGCCAAAAGGATAAGTTTGGCCATGCACTTTAATTGGGAAGGTAGGGCTGAAAGCTCCCTGGAAAAAGTTGCAGGGCAAAGGGTGTGTACTCCTAAATGATATGTGGTTGGGTGTTGAGGAAGTAGGAGGGACTGTCACTGCTATCAGATATTCCTGTGATGCAAAGAAAAAGTGAAGCAGCCACATTTCTATTTATACACTGCTCTTCCTCTCACAGAGTACAGAATGGTGCACAAAATGATAAAATACAATAGAGCAATAATAATGAAAACTATCTATTATAACAACGCAACTAAATAACAGGCAAGACATGAAGCATGGTATCAGCAGTATGACCATAATCTGTATTTGTACCTGAAACTTGCATGAATAGATGTGTCATTGGTTGCAACCTAAAACTTAACAGTGTGGAGGCTAGCCATATTTTCCACAGATGAGGTGCTGCCACTGAGAAGGCCCTACCTCTTATCACCAACATCCACATGACTTAATATTTTACTATGGTCAAATTGACAATTTGCCTGGTTAATTGACTGATATACCAACTTTACTTTTAGGATCCTCAGCTCTCAGCCTCCTTACCTGCTGAGTATCTCTGCAAATGAATTCTCCCACGTCAATCCTTTGCGAGATCCTTTTCAGTCAACTTGGTCCTTCACAGATGCTGCATTGTTGGCAGCTTTCTGTGAGATCTTAGAATGTTTGTGAGAAATGAAGCCCAACCGAAGCCTGGGGGTGGAGTGATGCAGGCAACAAGCAACTGTTTTAGCCCATTTTATACTGATTTTATCATTTAAAGCTGGACACTCAATAATGCAGATTTTTCTTTTTTGCCTTTGCAACTTTGGAGTCACCATCTTGTTTTGATGTAGGTGTCCATTTTTGTGTACCGCTTGTGTGTTTAAAAGATTGTTTGTTCATACTTACGGGTTAAGTGAGGAATGGAACCAAATTTATGTTATTGAGACTTTGTTGCTTATTAATTAATACAAAGCAAAAGGGCTTCTGGCAATAATTTACATCCCACTTAACAAGTTTATGTTCTTGATGCAAAAGCAGCTAGGAGTTTGAACCTATGGATGCAACTTGAGAAATCCACGCATTTCTATAAAACAGGGAGACACAGCATGATCTGATGCATTTCCACAAGGCTAGATTTACACACTGGATCTAATAAATTTCCAACAGAATTCTCCTTACATGCTTGCCTGGGTCATACAGAATCCATAGCATAGGGTGCATTCCATTGCAGGTGCATTTCCCTCCCTTCCTTACAACTGTTACTAAACATGCCAAGCAATTCACAGTGATGTATTGGTGTGCGGGGACGCGCACACACACACACACATGCACAGCCTGTCTGGCACTGGCACATCCTGCATTGGCAAGCTCAGTTTGTTTTTGTTTTACTAGCTGTTCTTGCATCCCTCTGGGGATCTCAGATGGGAGTTAGTTTCCTTTCTCAGCAATGGTAGGTTTTGAAATTAGATTTGTCTGGTGTCAGGCTGCGACCCTGATCTTTCTATTGGGGTGCGAGGGGACATTTAACTAGCCACTAAACTGTAAGGGATAGGAACTCTTGTAAACAACAGACTATGGGGGGAAAACAGCCAAAGCAATTGGTTGGCTGTCAGGCAGGATAACAGAATGTTGGGGAGCATGCTGTCATTATCTCCCCCTCCCCATATATTTTATTTTGACATCACAAAAGCTTGTCTGCATGTCTGGAAACTTCAGCTAAGTGTGCTGTGGGCTGGTTTGTTTTGCATCAATAACTCTGGGCTTTGAATTTGCATGGGTGTTGTTTTTAACACAGCCCCCCCCGTCCAAATCCGCCATATCACAGGTCACATCTGTCTCTGTGGCCATTGTTTTGTGGTGCTGCCATGGCACAGAAGCATGGATGCAACCCTTCACAGTGCCACCATAGTACAAAAATATGGATTGAAGGCAGTTTCCTATGAATCTTCTTGATTTTTTTATTCAGGTTCCTGCCACAGCTCCCAACAAATCAGAACCTCTCCATGTTCACAGTCTGCACCATGAACATTACTGCTGCCATAGTGCAATATTATTGATCTGTTTTTGCACACAGCAAAGCTGTCAAGTGCACATGCCATATTATGCTGCTGTTCATGGGCACGGATGTGATCTCTTGTGTGGTAATTTAAAAATATGTACATTTGTGAGGGATGCTTTAAGGTCCCTTTTTATGAAGATGATGATGCAGTCGGTGGGTACAGATAGGATCTGTTGGAATTCCATAGAAAAACACAGACGACACATGTCCTGTGGCATCCCCCAGATCTCTGACATTTGCAGGGCAGTCTGTACGCACCAATGTAAGCTTTAATTTGATGCTCGGGTGGGGGAGGAATTTTGTGTAAAAACTAAACAAATTCATTCGTTTTCATTCAGAGGAGCCGACTTGTAACCCGCCCCCCCTCAAAATCTTTCAAAACAGCAGCGCCAGGTTTCTGCAGAGCTAAAAATAACAGCAGCAATATACTGAAGCAGATGCAATTCAAGCGCAGGCTAGTCGAGTATTATGCATATAGATAGATAGATAGAAACAAACAAACAAACAAACAAACCCCAGTGCTATGTTTTCCCGTGCAAAATTACCACAGCAAAATTCCCCATCATTTTCATTCCAAGCCTGTGCTTTTTTTTTCCACCTGCAACGCGGACGGACCGTATCTGATAGCTCCCTCCGTGCAGATTAGGTAACACACAAGATGGACGGAGGAGAAAGGCAGGCAGGCGGTGGGGGGGGGGAGCGCGCAGCGAGCAACAGGGAAAGGCATCAGCTCCGGCTCTGAGGCGGACGAGATGAGAGCGAGGGAAAGGCGGAGCTGCGGGACTCCTGCCGTCACGCCATTGGCTCTCCTCCCCGCCTCATTTGCATGTCTCAGAGCTTTCTTTTATGCCTGTTCCCCCCCTAACCACCACGTGACTTGAGCGGCGGACGAGACTTCCTGTTTGAGGTTGGGGAGGGGAAGATGGAGTAACTCTCGCGTCTCCCAGCCCCCTCCCCCCCCCGCGCTCCGTTGTGGTCTCGCGCTGCCTGCCTGGCGGGGCTCTTGTCAGTTAGTAACAAAATGGCTGCGGTGGCAGCAACTCTGCTCCTGAAGCGGAGGACAGAGGCGGCGGCGGTGGTGGTGCAGGCGGCTGCTGCTACTGCTGCGAGGAGGAGCGGGGGGCCGGCCCGGCAGCATCACTGAGCTCGGCGGCATCGCCTGTCCCGCCAGCGGCCCAACCCCCTTCCCCTCCGAGCGAAAGCTCCGTCCGAGGAGCCGCTCCTGCTGCCTCCACAAATCCCCCGTATCTCCCCCCCCCCGAGAACCTCTCTCTCTCTTGAGTCCCTGTGGAGGGGAAGGAGAGCGAGCGAGCGAGCCTGCTGGATCCTGCTACTGATTGGGTGGATCCCACTGGGAGAGAGCCTGACGGACCTCCTTATGAGAAACTCAACGGCTGGATCGCCCTGGGATCCGTGGATCCTGACCCTGTGAGAAAGAAAGAGACTGGATTTCGCCTTCTTTTCTGTATCCACCTATGTTTGGCATAGCTGGGTGGATCCCCATGAGAGAGACTGGTGGACCCCCTCGTCAGCAAGAAGCTTATCTCCTGGATCCTTTTAGGATCCCTGTCTATCAGAGAGACTGCTGGACCTCCCTTCCTTGGATCCACATATGAAAGGCACAGCTGGTGGATTTCGCTGGCATCTGTGGATCCTTGCCTTCTGAGACACTGCCTGGATTGCTCTCCCCCTTGGATCTGCCTGAGAGAGACTGCTAGATCCTTTTCCTGCTTGTGTTCCACGTCTCTCCTCCCTTTTTAGAGAGACCGTACTGGGTACTTCTTGTTTGGATGTGAGACTTCTGGATCCCCCGTGGCTCCTTTTTGTTTTTCCTAAGCTATTCCCTTATACACTTATGGATGGGTACAATTTTCTCCATTTTAATTTGCACTTTTGAAAACAAAATATTCAGATGCTCATCCATATAAACTGAGAATCTCCCAAACACATATTTTTTAAAAGCTGTGTTCTGATCAATTAGAAAGCATAACATTTTCCACTCTCTCACATCCCAACAGTTCATTTTTGCTGCAACCACGTACATTTAATTTTAGAACAAAATTCCGTGTGCAAAACTCTAGCTGGGGACTCATAACTGCTAGTTCTGCTTCACTGGAAATAAAAAAGATATTTTAAAAAAGGACCTGCATCTGCTGCACTTCTCTGGGCTGGAATCAAACTGGAGCTTTTAGCTCTTCTACTTGGATACTGTTGATTTCTTGTCTGGTTTCCCCAACCCCCTCCCTCCTCCTTTGTGGCAGGTTATTTTTGGTGGGGTTTTTTTTTATTGGAACGGGCATAAATATAAAAAAAAAATCCAACAACTGACTTTCTTGGCCGTGTGAGATTTTTTTCGTATTCAACGTGAAAAAATACGGGTACTTTTTGTAAGAAAAAGCATTAAAGAAAGAAAGGAGCACGCTAGTGAAACTCCCAGACGCCAGACAAAATATTCACTTGTTCTTTTTCAAGGAGACTGAGTCGAAAGCTGCCAAAGAGCCCCAGAAGGAAACGAAGCAAAGGTAAGAGGAGGGCCATTCCCTTCTCTTAATTGGGAGGCAGGGAAAGTTAAAAATGTAAAAGACCTTTTAAGTAGTTCAGTGCATGCGGCTCCCCGTGCCATAAGTACAAAACAGAGCTGTTTTCTGTAGTGTTTTTTTAAAAATAAAAATAGAAATTGTGCTGTAGTCAGTAAAATAATAAATCTATGAAGTGCTTTCTAATAATAAGCTATTATATTCAAAGACTTAAATAGACTTGGATGCCAGCTTTAAAAACTTCAGTATTTATCAGGCATATTTTGCATGTAGTTCCTTGTCCCTGCAAAAAAATCCCACACCATATCATGCACATGAGAAAATATGGAAAAGATAATAAATTATGGAACAGAATTAATCTTAAATTATTTTAGTGTGTTCATGCTGTTGATAGCATCTCACATTACCATGTGATGCAATGTTTGGAAAATAGTGATAATTAGCCTTGGCAATTTGTCTTGGTTTAAGTGTAGCTAGAATGGAAAAGCTGATTGAATGTAACCAACTGGAGAAAACTTGAACTTCATCCTTGATTGCCTACAGTCAAGTATAAAAAGATGACTGGATCTTTTTTTCAGTGTTTCTTTAGAATGTAGGCTTCTTTTTTAAGTTCTTTGCTGGAGTAAAATATTTTAGCATATTTTTGTGTCACCAGTTTTTCCTTTTATGGTAGCAATGATTAATGGAGCAAACCATCAGTTACTAAAGTATCGGGGTCAAAGTAGCATTTCAGTGTGTACAAAATTCTGCCTGTGCAAATTTTATTATTTAAGTATTTGGAAAACGCTCTGCTTCATTTGCTTCAAAGCCTAAACTTGGAAGTGCAGTAGTCCATGCACAGAAGGTTGCTATGTTTTCAAAATATAGAAAATGTTATCTGTGGCTCACTTAATACAGAATGCCTTGGTAGATATTTTAGTTAGTCGCTTTATAAAGATCAGTCTTTAATTTTAGTTTAATGTCCTCTGTTGGAGAGTTTTTCTCCATTTAAACTCTGTGTGTAATAGGGACAACCCATTGTTTTGTTTTCTAAGTCAGGGTAGACCTATCTACTCTGTAAATAAGGTAGTGGTGTTCATTAATTTCAATGATTCTACTCTGAATGGGATTAACATTGGTGACCACCCAATAGTTCCATTGTAATTTTGGCACATGTTTATAATATCAACTCCTTCTTAGAGATATTGAAATGTGGGTGAGAGAGAAACCAAAATCCTGGCTGAATTGGAATATATAAGAACAAGTAATGGTCACTTATTTTAGTGAACCTCATTGGATGCATCAAATTGTATGGGTAAATTGTTGAGATGCAGCAGATAAACGCTTAGCAATACAGACATAAGAACACATAAGGAAGAAAGAAGAAGACAGCTGCAATAAACTATATATATGTTTTTAAGAGCCCATAATATATCGTTATGATTTCTACGTAGTGAGACTCACTTTTGACTTGTTTTTCTATGTTTTGTGTAGCTGTCAAGATACACATTTAGTAATTATTTAATTTTCCTCATAATCCAGATAGAGTTGAACAGTTTGTCAATGGGTAAAGCTTATGATTTAATCTTTCCCCCATAGCTGGTTATTGGAATTTCCAGTCATCATCTGACACCCTCTTCCTTCTACCCTTTCTGGCTTCTGATACCTAACTGTGAACTCTGATACCAAACAGTGTATCAGAAATATTTAATATTCCCTTCACAGCTACAGGCATGTTTTATTCATACAGTTATTTTCCTGTTATCTGATATTATCAATTTTCTGTGCAAGCATTTGGTAACTTTCAGTTTTCTGAATATCTTTCGCAGATACCTTTTGGTAGAAAAGGTGGAAAAGACTATTGTTTTTTTGTTTTGTTTTTTTAAAAAAAACCACTTCTATTGCTTTTTTAAACTTTTGTTAGTTGGTTATAGATTTTAAATGCAATTTTTACTTACCTGATGATAGTTTGATGTCCTAGAGCATTAGTAGTGGCAAGCTATGATGCTTTCTACTTTTGTCACCTGGGACATGCATGGATTAGTAAATAAGGTACATTATGAAAGAGAGATTCCTACTAATGCCGTAACCAAAGCAATTATGATGCATTCTGTGAACTCCTTGTCAGAGATGCTTCCATTGTAAAACTGACTATTGCACTGATCAAAAATGAAATGGGCTGAGTGAGCACTAGGACTCATAAAGATAGTCCTTTCAGTGCATAGGTGGGAAAACCCAACATGTTTTCTACTATCCATGCATTCTGAAAGAGAAAATGTGCAAATGACAGGAATGGAAACTTGAGTTCATGGTGAATAATGCAATGAAAAACCTTAACCTAGCATGCGGCAGCTGTGAAAAAAGCAGATTGCATGTAAGGGATCATGCCTTTACAATATATGGTGTGACCACATTTGGCATTCTGTGTACGGATTTGGTTGCTGCTTCTCAAAACGATGTTGTAGAGCTGGAAAAAGGGTAGCAAGCAAAATTATCTGGAGGCTGGTGTGGAGAAACTGGACTGAGAAGTATCTTCTTCATACTATAAGCTTGGGGGGGGGTCATCCTATAAAGTTGAATGGTGGGAAATTGAGGATAGACAAAAGGTAGCACTTCTTCAGACAGTGCATAGTTAAAGCTATAGAATCTGCTTCCACAAGATCTGCTGATGGCCAACTTAGATGACTTTAAAAGGGAACTAGATGAATTTATAAAGAGTAAGGCTATCAATGGCTGCTAGTCATGATGGCTATATGCTACCTCTAGGATTAGAGGCAGATTGCCCCTGAATACTAATTGTTGGGAAACAGTGGGAGAGGGCTATCTTCCTCATGTCCTGCTTGTGTGCTTCTCATAGGTTGGTTATTTAGGAAATGGGATGCTGGACTAGATAGGTAGGCCTTTGGTCTTATATAGCAAGGCTCTTCTTATGCCAACAAGCTGGCCATAAAACACTTTAATAGTGCAGTCTTATGCATGTTTACTTTTATACTTCAGTCACATTGATTACTACAAGGGAAGTGAGTATAGGATTACAGATGAAAAGCACGATATTAATCCACATGGGGTTTATTTATTTTTGTGTCCTTACACAGTGTGATTAACTGCTGAATCTTCAATACCTCATGTATTTCTAAATAGTATGCCAGTATTAGTTTGTTCTTCAGCTCTGTGGGTGTTAGCTCATCAAGGGCAGGTGTCCTAAGCCATCAGTCTGAAACTATGGTGTATCCTTCTTCTGATTGGACTGTTGGTCATGTCTTTGGGAAATGCATATCACATTCTTCTAGAATAGGTAGTGAAAGCTAATATACAGTGGGAGAGATGAAAAACAAAGAAATGGGCCATATACTTATCATATGTTGACCAACATATTAGACACTTGTCTAATAAGATCACTAGCTAGTATTTCCTGGTGGTGACCCTCATATTAGGCTCCTTCAACATATATTCTACAGTAACAGCAAAAGGGATCTTCATTTTGAAAATAATTTCCAGACTAACCACCTGAAGGCTAGACCCCATGTATTGTTTGGAAGAGGTCCTTTAATCACTTTAACCTAGCAGTAGTATTTTGCCCTGTTGCTAAGAAGGAATGGGGTTTTATAATTACTTTTGTGATTCTTGATTTATTCCTGAAGTTGGAATAGATGTATGCTTTTGGTGATGGTTATTAGCCCTCTTGGGCAGCCACAATATTAGGATAGTAATTAAACATTTTAACATTTTGTACTATTTTAAATATTAATCCTTTGATATTCATTATATCATTAAAAAACCACATGATCACTGTAGAAGAATCATATGCCCAGCAACAGAGGTTGTGTGCAATTTTGTTATCATCTTTTAGTCAGACATTTTAGCAAGGTGTAACACTCCATCATCAGAATAAATAGTATCCCAAACTCTTGTTTGAAGGCATTACAAAACCTTTTGTATGTGAAAATAGTCAATCTAGGAAAGAATAAACATTTTTGAGTCTGTTTCTCTGTACTTCTATTTTAAAATGCAAACAGATTTCCATGTGTAGGGAATTCGGTTTTATTTATAAGCAAAATGGTTGCCATAGTGATTGCCAGTTTTGGAACACTTATAAATCTAAAAATGTAGCCTTTAGAGATATACCTACTAAAACATCAACATGAAAATTTTTTGGCACTCAGAATCTTAATGGCATAAAAATAAAGCCGCCGTGTGTGCGAGAATGGATAATACTTTTAAATTACATTTAGTTGTTCTATGCAGCTGGTCTTGTAGAGATAAATATGCACTTTTCCCAATGCTGTCATCTGGCTCCTTTCCAAAACAAGCTGGAGGAGGAGGTCAGGGGTGGGGCAGACTTCTACTTCAGCAAAGGAAGGCTTTCAGATGGAAAGAATTGCTAGAGAAAGTCCCTATGAGAACACTGCAGACTTAAAGCTTAGCTCCCACTCCGTTTCTATTCACACAGGGATATATGTTAATTTATTTGCTTTTTGAAATCTGTTACAATATTTCAGACAAAATCATTTCAAATGTGTACATCAATACACATTCGTTAATCTGCTAAGTTTTTCCATCTATTATGAACTATAGAAGGTTGTTGCTTTGTTGTATGACTAGGATTCTCATCCTTTACCTTGTAAGCTATTTTTGGCTTGTTTTATTTATTGTTTATTTTTAGAACCCATTTAAAATTCAGATTACAAGATAATGTCATATTTGGAATATTTCTCCCCTTGTCTTGAAGCTGCAGGAAGGAGTTCATCAGGCCATTTAGTAGTAGAGATGAATGATAAGAAACCTCTTAAGTGCCCGGTGATGATGTAGTCTAGCCAATTTTGTATCAGCTGTTACCTTCTGGTGATAATGGGTAGAGGTTTTCAGTAGCTTTATAAAGACATCAGCCAGGTCAAAAGAATTTAAAAACCCAATATATTTTGCTGAATTCCAATACGCTATGGCAATAACAAATTTAATTACAAAACTGGCTTTCAATTGTTCATAATCTTTGTATTTAGAGGATA